AGGCTGAGCCCTGGCCCACCCTATGGGTTCTGCAAGTACCCACTTCCTCTCTCTCATCCTATCTGGCCCACCCTTCCCCAGTTTTTCCCCTTACACTAGGTGCTATCCATTCCCCCCTCTTACTCAAATGTATTTCCTGTTCCTGTCTTTTGAGAGACACCCTAGGGGACCCACTTCCCTGTTACTGCGACCTCCCTCCCCAGCTGGGACTGCTCTTCTCTCTGCCTGGGAGCTGCACAGGACACAGGACACTGGTGACGAGATAGAACATCGGGACTCCCAGCTGCTGCCTGGGCCCAGCTAAGCTGCTGGCAAACTCTTGGGCTCGGATTGTTTTGACTTGAATCGCTGAAGCTGAAATATTCAGTCGCAACGGCCCTAAACTTCGTTACCAGCTTTTAACACAGATTACTAAGGGAAAAGAGTTGCTTTTAATTGCTTTTCCCAATTAGCATTTCTGGAGGAAAAACTAGTGTGTAATTACACCACTACTCCTCAGGCCCCATTCGGCCACAGGGGTCCCCGCCCCAGGCTGCCAAAAAGGCTCCTGTTCCCCAGGGATGCCAAGGAGCCAAGCCCAGAGAAAGCCTGCCTAAGAGGAACCCTGCAGAGGACAAAGTAGAAGGAGCCTGAAGGTCTGAGAAAGGACTGGACCACCTATAGCCGCTGAGTCACTCACACGTGCAAAACCTGACCTCTTTTCTCAAGGTGCTGCTGGGATCCCCCAGGGACTGTGGCAGGGAAGAGGTCCTGAAACAACCACTCACTGCAGCCCCAGAGAGAGTTGCCTAGTGGTTCCAGACAGGCAGGTGCTGCTGGCTCTCTATCCCTCTTCCCTTGGACCAGTGCTTGGTGGGGCTCAGAGGCTTCTTGACTCAATGAGGAAGAACTGAGGGAGAAACCTGAGGGCGGGGCACCTGCGCCATCAGACGGATTTCCTACCCAGGGCAGAACCAGATGTCTTCCCAAAACCACCTCCCAGCCATGTGCCAGCCCTGCCCAAAGGGACTGCAGCCCTGGATCCTCCGGAGCACCATGTCATTTAGTCGTGGCAGAGGCCACGGGTCCCCACTCCCCTCACAGCACCTCCCACTCCTGATCCCACCCTCTGCATCCCCCACTGCAGCTGCGCACTCCAGAGCTGCTGGCCTCCTGTCAGATCAAAGCCCTGGAGGATGGCATTAGAACTGTCCACTCCATTTAGGGGTGAAGGTCATGGATCTAGTGCAGACTATAGAGGCTGAGAGCAGAAAAGCGTGGACACATGTGCCTGCCCCCTCCAGACATATCCTCCCAGAGGTACACCCAGGGAGACAGGCCCACACCCCTCTGAGCCAAGCTGAGGCACCAGCTGTGGGCCTGGGACATCTCCCTACCTCCCTGCCAGCCGCTGCCAGCCTGCCCCGCTGTTCCCTCCCGTTATGCCCCTGGAGGTCAGGCCTCCAGAGCTTTCTGAAGGGCTGAGCTGCTGTGCCACATATTGCTTCTCACTTGGGACACCCCTGATGCCCCCTGCAAGATGTCACCAGTCTGCCCTTCCTGCCACTCCCCCTGGAGGTCAGGCCTCCAGAGCTTTCCTGGAGGGTTGAGCTGGCCCATATGGCTGGGGATATGCTGCTGCCAGCCTGGGCAAGTGCTCATGGGGCCCAGCAGCCGGTGGTGACAGCTTCGAGTCCGTGCCAGCCAGGCCTTTGCTTGCTCCCAGACTACACAGCAGTGCCTGGGGCTGCACTGACCCTGGGGGTGGGGCTCAGGGATCTCCTAGCTGTTCCAGCACTGGTGCTGGGATCGCCTGCCTGCTTCAGTCTGGCCCCAGAAAAAGGGAATGAGCCAGTTTCAGGTCTGGTGGGGCAATTCACACCTTTCCCTGTGGAAAGACTTATGGATCCCAGCCAAGGAGCTTGGGCTGGAGGCTGGGCGGGACCCCTGTGCATGACCAGGCCTTAGACAAACTCATTTCTCAGCACTCAGAGAAACTCTCAGCTGAGTCTAAATGACCAGACACACAGGAAAAGAGTCCAGGAACTCAGGCCTGGAGCACACAGATCATATCTAAAGCCACATGGAGAGAAGCTACACCAGCACCAGGCCTGGCACAGAAGTAAGTCATGGAGCCAAGATCCCAAAAGTGGCTTCACGCAGAGTCTGAGGGCCAAGAGGACAGTGGGTGCCCAAGCCCCATCCTGCTCCATGGTGGACAGCTGTAAACTGGCCAGGAGGTGCCCACAGACTCAAATGGGCCCTTCTTGGCAACCCGAGAACTCAAAACTCCACAGACGTTAAGAGCCATGGAGGCTGAGGAGATAGCTCAGCAGTCTAATTGCCTGTCTGGCAAGCACAAGGACCTGGGTTCGATCCTCAGTACCATATGCCGTGCTGGCCCCAGAACCCCGGGTGTGCTGTGTTGGCCACTGAAACTGGGTGTGGTGGCCTGCAATCCTAGCACTGGGGAGGCTGAGACAGGAGGATGACTATGAGTCTGAGCTGCACAGTGAGACCCTGTACCAAATAAATAAAAAATAATTTTCAAATTAAAAAATTGTCCTGTTTAAAATCCACCAGGATCACCCAAAAATAAACCCAGAACTTCTCACTAGGCCCTCAAAGCCCTACACATCCTGGCTTCTTCCTTTTCTTTCTCACTACTGAATGCAGTGAGCTCCTCCTACCTTAGGACCTTTAAACTGCCTGCTCTCTCTTTCTGGAATATTCTCTCCCCTGTTCCTCAGATGGATGTTCACTTCCTGTCCTTAAATTTCAGCTGACAGTCACATCCTTAAAGAGTTGTCCTCTAACCCTAGCACTCGGGAGGCTGAAGCAGGAGGATTGCCATGAGTTTGAGGCCAGCCTGGGCTACATAGTGAGTTCAAGGTCAGCCTGAACTGCCTAGTGAGACCCTGTCTCACAAAAAAAAATAGAGTTCTCGTCTGAGCCAACCCAAGTGTCACCAGTCATTTCCCATGCCCTCATCCTATTTCCATTCTGCACATTGATCCCATGAAGATGCCAGTTATCGCCTCCCCTACCAGACTACCATGAGGACAGGGGCTTTGGCTCTATCCGCTGGAGAGTGGAAGACACCAGACGCTTTGTAAATGTGAAACAGCTGCAAACAAGTCTTTTGTAGAATAGCCAGAAATGCAGAGAATCTGAGCCGGACAGGATCAGGCCTGTGGTCCAGACCAAGCACAGACTCGCTCGTGAGGCAGGAAGCCTCTGAGACCATGGGTCATCCTTGCCACAGAGGACCCCAGCCCGCGGCCAAGCTACCACTGGAAAGGGCTGGGGACACAAGGTGGGTCTTGGCCATGACGTTCCCTCTTGGAGCCCTCAGAGTTCCTCCCAAGCTTCATTATCGAGCCCAAGACAGCCAATGCCAGGATGCGGGAGTCCCACCGGACCTGCTGAGCCCATACCCTGTGCCGGGTGCAAATCCCAGCTGGCTCGGCCCCTGGGAGTCAACAGTGAGTGGAAACTGCAGAAAGGGAAAACTAATGGGCATGTTTTGCCCAGAGAAAGAAAAATACAAAAAGCCTGCTACAGAGAACAGAACAGGTGATTGTGGTCCCCTCCACGGGGCTCTGCAGGCACCTGGTAGTCCGCTCAGGGCCAGGGCACAGGGCAGACTGATCCAGGCTGAGGCATGTGTATTTGTCCAGCATTGATGATGATCAGAGGCAGCATAGTGAGGCAAGAAGAGTCCCAGAAGCAGTAAAGAGGGACAGTAAAGAAGGCCAAATGCAAGCACGACTGTGGTACAACCAAACTACGCTTGCGGCCTTTTCCAGGCAAAAATCAAAGCAGCCCTGCCAGCTCTCAGGGGACAACGACAGCACCCCTTCAGTGTGGACAAACCAATTCCTGGACTCCAGGAAGAAGAGTCCCGGCAACATGGCTGTTCCACCGCAGCAGCCGGAGGCTGTGTTTGCATGTGATTTGCAAATCCTGGGGCCGTATTCTAGGCTTCGGTTAGTCCCTGAGGAGGCACAGCCTGAAATGAAGCAGGATCGAAGCTCTGGAGACCTCCCAAGCCCAGCGGGCATCACAGCGGGCACCATGGTGCCCATCTCTGCCAGTACTTCCTCCTCACAAGTTCAAAGTCCGAAGTCGCAGAGTCAGGCCACAGAGGGAGTGGCAGGACCCACCTGCTGGAGTGTCAGTGGCGGCTGAGCTGGGGGTGCTGACTCCAGCCTGGCACATGCGAGAGAAGCAGCCCCAGCCTCGCTCTCCCCAGACCCTAGATCTCTAGACTCTTGGCTGCAGGCCCCACCCTACAGACCCTGTCCACGGCTTCTATGGAACCCTGTGGGCTGGTTCCCCCGGGATCTCAAGAGAATACTGAACAATGACCAATATGCCATGCGTCACCACTGTGTGCCAATCCCCACACCCCAAGAACTGTCAAGTTTAATACCTTCAGGTAAATATCTGACAGAACAGCCCTGTACACCAGCCTTAGGCAAGGGGCTATTTCCAAGTCTGAATCAAAGGCTCATGCAGCTTCTGCCCAAGGAAGGTCTTGCCTGGGCTGGAGCCCATACAGAGCCCCACAGGTCATTCCCACGCTGGCTACACCCCCACGCAAGCTCAGAGGAAAGGCCAGCTGGTTCCTGACATGAGGATGCTCAGATCTAGCAGTCTCACCTGAGATACCCACCCACTGCCACCCCCTGGGAATGCTGGGAGGACTTTCCAAGGCCAGTGATTCCAATCTCTTTATTCCACAGATGAGAAAGTTGAGATCCAGAGTGGAGGAAGCAGTGTGCCGAGTCAGTGGCAAAATCAAGACCAGAATGCAGATGCCTCCTTCCAGATGGGGCTCCTTTCCCCGTCGGACATTTCTTTCTTGTGTCCACTTATGGTGTGTAAGCTACCACTGTTCACATTACAACCCACTGAGAAACCTGAGTGTAGGGCCTATCCCATCCTTACTCTAAGGAGCTCCCCCAGACCAGCCAGCCCACACCTCCCGAGGCATCTTGGGAACTGGGAGCAACTACCTTTGCATCCCAAGAGGCCAGAGTCCGAAGTCCATTCCAATGTGCAGCACTGGGGAGTTGCAGGATCCCCTTATGAAGGAGGGATCAGTGGCCGGGGCAGCTGGAAGGGCAGGTGGGATGGAGGTGGCCTTTGCCTTCCGTCAGTGAGGTCTGTGTGCCTACCAAAGGAGCAGGGAAAACAAGATTAGGCTACAAGTGGCACCCACAAAGCTGCTGCACACAGGAGGATAATGGGGTGAGGCTCCCATACCTTGTGCGGTGACTAGCCAGAGAGGCAGGATTCTTGGATCCTGCTCATCAATCAGCACCTGACCTTGCCATGGTGCATGCCATGCCTGACCCTGCAGCCGAGGTGCCCCTTGCATAATTATTAGCCAATAGCTACGCAGTGTCGCACCTAATAAAATAATCAAACAGGGAGAACAATACTAGACCAATCAGGTGCCACCCTAGGTAACAACAGAGAGATCACACCCAAGGCTTGGGATGTGGGGTGAAAGGTCAGCCTGATAGTGGATCAAGCCAACATCGGAACACATGAGGTCTATGGGACAGAACCAAGCCTCTGGGTCCCCAATCCCCACTCCCTCCAGATCTTCCCAAGCCAGGTCCCAGCTGCACCCATGAGCGCCCTCCAGCCTTATGGGAGTCTCAAAGAACACAACCAACAGGTGTCTCTGCAGCTACCCAGGATGGTGAATACGGTTTCTTTTCTCTTCTTTGCCACCTACCCCAAAACTCTGCTACCGTGCGATTTCATCTCACGAAGAAGAAAAGAGGGTGTTAATACAATACCCTCGAAGGAGGTGGCAGAGATTCATTTGTGATAGGTGCTGAGCCAAAAAAATAAATAAATAAAAGTGGCCACAGAAAGTTGGTGCCCTGCTACCAGCAACCTTTGTGTCAATTCAAGCAAATATTGTGGTGTTTCCATGGTGATTCCTGTTTTGAATATCCACTACACAGTTTTAAAGGGCTTTTCCTGTTTGCGTTTCAACTTCAAACCTGTAAATATTTTCAGCCTTTTTAGAAAAAGTGAGCCTGCATCCGTGCAGACACCAACACACTACCAATGTTGCCCACAACCTTTCGGATGTAAAAGCAAGGGAAGGGGGGTCTCCAGCTGTCCTCACGCCCACCCTGCTGCGTGCAGAGCCAGCGCTGCCATTCCATCCCTTCCTTGCCTCTTTGCCAGGGGACAGTAGCATCCCTTGGTGGAGGTGAGCAGGCTTGGTCCTGGCGGCACGAGGTGGCACAGAGTGGACAGCTGCCCGGCAGGCTCTCTAACCTGGCTCACCATGCCTGAGCTCCCGGGTGGTCCTCCCTGGAGTGGGTGAGCCGCTCCTGTCTTGCCCCCAAGCTGGGCCTGCACAGAAGGCGACCTGGCTCCGTGAGGGCAAGGCTTCAGCACCAGCTCCCCCCGCTGCCAGGGCAATGCCACGGAGGCCAGCTCCCTGGGGCTGGTGTAGGGATGGATGGTGACAGAGGTCTAGGGTGGTATGCTTGGCTCCCATTCCACTCTTCAGCACCACACAGGGTTAACATCGGGTTTCCTGGTTTCCATGGATTCCCGCCAGGCCCCTAATGTGAGTTTCGTGTGATTTGGGGGAAGTGGATTTCCTTTGTTTTCCAGTTTGGGAATATTTTTTTCTTTAAAAAAGAGGAAAAAACACTTTAATGGGAACTTCAGGGCTGCTGGGAGACTCACTCCTCTGGGCTCCGAAAATCCCTTGCCTATTGGAATAGAATCGCTAAAGTGCAGGCAGCCCCACACCACAACAGGCTGTGGGCACAGAAAGGTGCCTCAGACCCCCGACAACTCCCACTCCCCAGTGTACTCTCCCGTGGAGGTTTTCATGCCAGTATCCCACCAGAAAGACCCCACCTAAAAGCCAACCTCTTACACAGCAGGGGCTGACACTGACCTCTTCCCTTCAGCTCTTCAAAAGGGGCCTACTTATTTTCCCCCAAAAAAGCTAAGAGAAACACACCCACTTTCCTGACTCCTGAAGGAGCTAGGGGCCTGAGGTACGACGACACATCTACTGACAATGACCCAGTGGCTCATGCCCTGGTGCCAAAGGGGGTTCCAGATCCTGGGGTCTCGTACTGGTCTCTGCCTGCTAACAGAGGCACCTGCCCAGGCCAGGGGGAGCATCTCAGCATTGGCAGAGAGAACAACCAAAGGGTGTGGCCCAGCCTCCACATCTCAGTCTTCCCCATTCCTGCCATCCCCCAGGCTTACCAGGGTGTGGCCTTAGGCTGGGACTGTCCCCAGCCCAGTGGCCTGACCCATTTACCAAACCAGGGCACAGGCCCCAGGGCCTGCCCTGCAGCAGGACCCTCCCACGGCCAAGGACCCAGGACAGAGGCAGCAGCACAAAACTCGGTACAGAGCCCAGAACGTGGATCTCTGACCAGCAGCCCCAGGCTGAAGAGGTGAGCCGCCAAGCGCAGTTACAGAAGCAAGCTGGAGCCAAGGATCAGAAGCCGTGGGTCCAAGGCCTGGCTTTGCCACTTAATTCTCATGGGCCCTTCGCCAGGCCAGCTAATCTCCCAGCATCTCCGCTTCCTTACCAGGTAACTGAAGAGCAGAGAGAAGACAGGATGCCTCTTCCCCTCTCACCTAGCAGGCTGTGGTGACCAAGGGACGTGGAGGGGCATTCGTGGCGAGGCAGCCTCCTATAGCCTGCCCCAAGTGGGCCCTCTCTGCTGCTCCTTGTACACCCCTCATTGTGGCCTTTAAATCCACACCGGGCCAAAGTAATTTGTCCAGGAGTCTGTCTTCACCACTGGACTTTCAACTCCTCGGGAAGCGACCAAGTCTTAATTATCTTTGAGTCGCCAGCCCTTAGCACAACAGCTGGCCCACAGTGGGCAGTGCAACTATCAGTGGAACCGAACTAGGCTCCGACTTCATGTCAGGATCAGACGGGCTGGGTTTCTCCCGCTTTTCTGGCAGAACACCCACTGGCTATTTTTACATTTGGTTCTCTTTCACTCCTTTAAGCCCCAACCTGCAGTGTAGGTCTGCTCCCCTCCTCTGCTTCAAATTTGCAACTTTCAGGTGGATAGGGAGCACCGATTCCTCCTCCAAGAACTGCAAGGAGAACTGGCTAAGCACCTACTTGGTGCCAGGGAGCAGGCAGGCTGGGAGTACCAGGCAGCATGGACCGTGATTTTCACCTTCGGCCAATGGGCTTACCGAGGAAGTCATGATATTAACTAACTAGATGCTTTCTATCTGCCTTGCACAGTGCCCGGGCTCCACATGCATGATCCTGCTGAATTCTTTAAACACCAGGACAGGAAGGATTTTGGTCCCCGTGGAAAGATTAGGGAAGCAGGCACAGAGAAATGAAGTGACCTGCCAAAGGTCACACGCATCCAGACCCAGACCCACGCTTCGGCTCCAGGGCCGACTCACTGTGAGGTCCTCCTTCCTGCCCAAGTGGCCTCAGCACCCACCCTCACCGGATGCTGTTTCCTCACTCTAAACCTCGTTCTCCCAGCCACTACCAGGGTGTCCGGCAAATCCCACAGGGCCACCCCAACGTGCTCAGAGATCACGACCAGCGGTAGTAACTGTGGTCAGGTGCTGAAGTAGGGGAAGGCCTGGGGAGCAGGAGGTGCCCCCGAGCCTTATCCACAGAGTTTCACTGCCTGTCACTTGACATGGAAGGCACCCAGGAGAAGACCACTTTGTGTCAAGAGCCTCCAAGGGGGTGAGACAACCTGAGGAAGCTCTACTACCGCCCCTACATCAGGAACCCCCACCGTAAGGAACATTTGCCCCAAGACTTGGGACTGCAGTTACACAGAGCCACAAGGACCTGGGCTTTTCATCCGGGCAAATGTCTACATAGCCAGGAAGGCAAGAAGAGATCAGGCGATGGCGGGGAAAGATCTGCGTTTGTGAGGAGAGACGTGGAAGAGCAGCTGGGGTGGAGAGAGGACAGGGCACTAATGAGCAGATTTCATAAACCACCTGGAGTGAACAAAACAAAAACACAGACGTGTGCGTTGCCCAACTTCAAGGCTGTATGGAAAGGGGAAAAAAAAACAATAAAAAAATCCACATCTTAATACAAAAATCCTACCTGATGTGTTGCGGCACGAAAATGTTTTTCAGTGCATTTTTCATCTGTGATCTCACACAACCTAGGATGGGTACGCCCAGTGCAGCAGGTATTTGATGGTACACAAACAGGGCAAACACATACACAATTAACCGAAACAAGGGCAGTAAATATTCAAATGGGTCCAAGCTGGCATCTCGCGGCATCAGGTGGCCCCTGGAGATGCTCTCATTGGCTCTGAGAATGGGGCCTTTCAGATTTCTGAAGGAGATAAATGGGCCAAGAACACTGTTCAAATGGAGGGAATCAGAGCTACTTCAGGGAAGCTCCCAGGCGGCCGGTTGTGTGGCCTTTCTGCTGATGGGGACAGGGAGGGACCCACAACCCAGAGGCTCTTCCTATGTGTCATTCAGCCCCCAGTCACTATCTGTCTCCTCTTGGTTCCACCCCTCCTCCCTTTTAATTGTTGGATGAGTTTACAGAGTTGTGTGCCAAAAACAATCAACTCTAGGGAACAGAGTTACACAGAAAAGGGTGTGTCGCCAGAGGGAGACGGGTATCCATGGAAACCACCACCTTTTCAGGACAGCCCAGGTGAAGTTGGGGTGAGATAGATGGTGTGGGGGTAGGGAGAGTCACTCCACCCAGAACAGGGCCCTGGAAGAGGACGGGGTCACTGATGATCCATAGGCGAGCGCACGCGCGCGCACACACACACACACGCACACACACACACCCCACTCCACATGCCACCCCACCAGATCACTGGGCAGCAGGCCATAGGGGTTAAGTGCATAGGCTTTGGGGCCAGGTTGCCACCCCTGAGCTGTGTGACCCTGAGTAAATTACTCTACCCTCTCTGGGCCTCAGTTTCCCCAGCAGTAAAACAAAGATAATAACAGTTCCTCCTGGGTCTAATCATGAAGATTAAGTGATATATTGCAGGCAACGTGCTGAAAAAAGTACCCAGCACATAGAATATGCCATAAAGCATTTGATAAATCAAAAAGCCTCAATGAGGCAGGGGGAAGGTTCCTAGACTCTGCTTCCAGACAGAGTCAAAAGGAGGAAAAGAACAA